TTAGATGAAGAAAAAATTACTACATTGATGTCTTCTTACGAGAATAATGATGTTCCTAATTTTTCATTGATTAAAGAACGTACTTTACAAAAAGATCGAGATGAAAATCTTGAAAAGCAAATTGATTCTAACAAAAAAGGCCGTATCATTCTGGTTGGAGCAGGTCCAGGAGATCCAGAACTTATGACTATTAAAGCTAATAAAGCACTAATGTCGGCAGATTTAATTGTATCTGATCGGCTCGTTCCTCCTGCTATATTCTCAAATGTTACATGTGAAATTCGTTTAGCACCTGCAAAATCAGGGGAGGATAAAACACCTGAATCACAAGATCAAATTCAAACCTGGTGTCTTGATGCATTAAATGAAGGTAAAACTGTCGTACGACTGAAAGTTGGTGATCCATTTTTGTTTGGACGTGGAGGAGAAGAAGTAACATACTTCAGGGATAAGGGTTGGAATGTTGAAATCATTCCCGGAATAAGTAGTGCATTATCGGCGCCGATGGCCGCAGATGTGCCTGTGACACATAGAGGGTTGTCAGACCAAGTACTCATCATAACTGGTCAGGGAACCAAAGGACGATTGCCAGAACTACCTAAATATCACGAGATGCGTACTACAGTTGTACTCATGGCTGTTGGTAAAGCAAATGAATTATCAAAAGAGTTATTAGATAAAGGATATCCCGAAAATTTGCCTTCAGTATTTGTAGAGAATGGTAATCGTCCTGAAGAAAGGATCATTCCCGCGACGGTTTCAACATTAGGGGAGGTGGTAGAAAAACAACATATAGTTTCTCCGGCGACACTTATCATTGGCCGATCAGTAAATGCATTAACCATTTAATATAAATAAAGATATACGTACAAATTTTATTTTTAGGCTAGAATTTGTTTTCACATTCGATTATTATTATATTATTATGTATTATGATAATTTTATTTATTTATTATTTATTTTTATTTATTTTATTTATTTTATTATATGTATATCTATTTATTTTATTCGCTTATACGTATCTTTTTTTTTTTTTTTTTTTTTATCTTGCATACGTACAATCAATGATTTTGAATACTCCTTATTTTGTATGTATATAACAGCAAAGGATCAAACATCTAACTTGAATGACAATGTTTCGTGTTATCGGATTTTCTCATGTAAATCATACATATTCGTGTCCCTATCACATTAAAGTTATGCTGTACTAGCATCTGCCCGCCTAAATATCTTCCTTCTCTTGGATACGATGAAAATTAATTCCAAATTTAGAAATTCGGTTATTCTGTCGTGTAACAATGATTCTATCCTTACATATCGATGTTACATAGGACTCATGTGTGATGCTCCAAATTTTAAATCGACATGTACTACATAAATCCTATGCTAATGCAAGAAATATTTAATGTTTGATATGGTTCGTTCCTACATTCTTATGAAGATCATAGTGTACTCACGTTCGGAGCTACGCAAGTGGTATGTTATGTGGATTCTAAAAAGGAACCAATTGACAAAGTATGATGAAACGTTGGCAAGATTGTGGCGTACGGTAGCAAACATAAAAAACACAATATGTTCTAAATATGTAAATCCTATCTATACTCTTTGTTTGTCTCACTCGGACACTAGCACTCGGACACTAGTACAACATGAGATGAATAAGGAAGACATATCTATTTTCGGTTTGGCAAATGCTGCATCTGGGTGTTTCCGAGTCAACGTTCAAAAAAATTATATCCAATAAACTGGGTTCAATAAACATATATATATTGCAAGACACGCCTGATAGAGTTATCACACTTTTCCGCAATTTCCTTCTTAACCGGTATATAGCGCCACTATCAATCTTCATTATCCGCTCCCTTATCTTTATTGTGCAATTTTTATTTCTCTTGTAAATTTCTCGTATTATAAACGCTTCAGATATGGCTTCTACTTCCTCAGACACTGTATCGCCCGTAACTTCGCTTAATTATAGACCGGCCGCGTCTTGTAATTCTCCGCCACGAGTCAGCCTGAAAACGTCGTTGACTCACCCCATCAAGTAAGCAAAGCCACACCTTTTTACTTTAAAAAAACTATTGCGTTATAACTTATAAGAACTTGCTTTTTATGTTTATGTTAACAGCATCAGCTGGATCGTTCCGGAAGAGTTGCTTGAGGGTCTTTCTTTGGACCCACTTTCCGGGACGATAGACCTTTTTGACGTGTACACTACTGCGTCTCTTTATCAACATTATTATGAAACTGTGAGAAATACCTCTCAAACTTTACAAAGACGCGGCTCTCGTACGTATCATAGTCCGACTTTAATAGGTAACTTGGCATTAAGTTCATGTCCTGGTAAAAAAGTTCGACTTAATGGTCCAGTAAGAGGAAGAGCAACGATTGACCGTGATTTAGATTTGGATTTTCAAAGATTAAAATCTTCGGACATATCGATGATTATATGGTATGTTAATACTTTCAAGTTAATGTTTTTAATTAATGTATTAATGCTATATTATAATTGTTATATATATGCTTAATTTTTTATTATATGGGTGAATAATATAGTTGCCTTAATGATGAGGAATTAGCATTTTTGGGAGTACCATGGCCAAAGTATTGTGAATTGGCTCAAAAGCACAATTTACAAATTATTAGGTAAGTCAGTTTATATTACTTCTTTTTTAACTATATATTGTATAATTAAAGATTTTATTTTTAATTTTTTAGAATACCGATGGTTGAAGGTGGTTGTCCAGATACCATGGACCAGATGGATCAGGTTGTAATGCAAATGGATCGCCATATACAATCGGGTCAAAGAGTTCTGGCTCACTGTCGTGGTGGTTAGTAGTATCTCCAATTTTGTTTTATGTTTTAATTCCATTCTAAAAAAAATTCAATTCCGTTTATTTTTTTTATGTAGGCGTTGGGCGGGCCGGCTTAGTGGCATGTTGCTGGTTACTTAAAACACAGTTCTGTTGTGACGCTGATCGTGCAATACGATTCGTAAGAATGAGGAGAAGTCCGAAGGCTATTGAAACTATACAGTATGTACTTGTTCTTGACCATGTCTTTTACTTTATGTGCTCATTACTTATTTTCTTATTCGCCTATAGACAAGTGGATTTCATTGTAAAATATGCCGATTATACGAATCGGAAAACGCTGTCACATCATATATCACATGATGTGAACAATGTTGCACTCAACACTGTAACTAAATTAACGCAATAAAAGAACCCGCATATACCGTGTGTTAGAAAGTTGTGGAGAAGCTGTGATCTATGCTAAAGTTGTCAAAGAAATCAACTGTATTATTAGTTAGTCTGGGACTAATGAGGCAGAATGATATCTTTTGATGAGTATTTTCTGTGTATATCACTGTATATATATATATATATATTATATATCATAATTCATATAATGATATATGAATAAATAAGATTCAAACATAGACAAAAAAGTGATATTGACACATTTTTTTGCATTAAGAGATTTCAATTAAGTACAATGGGTTTCTGCAATTTTTTTTTTTCCTTACTAGTTTTCAATATTGGGAAATAGTGAACAATAACTTTCTTTTTTTTTTGACTTTTTTTTTTGGCCTTTTTTTTTTTTTTTTTTTTTTTTTTTTTTTTTTTTTTTTTTTTTTTTTTTTTTTCTTTTTTTTTTTTTTTTTTTTT